TATATATATATATAATTTTTTTTTTCTCCAAGTGGCACTCTCAGCTCATTTTATTTCAGCTGTTTTACTGATCGCTAATGCAGAGCTCTCTCTCTTCCCCGCAGACAAAGAAGGAGCACTTATACACGTGGAGAATTGAACTGGCGAAAACAGAAAAGTACTGGGACGGCTGGTTCAGGGGTTTATCTAACCTCTTCCTAAGCTGTCCGACTCCAAAGCTTTTGCTTTTAGCTGGTACGTGTCTCTCTTCCAATCCTGTTTAGGTTCGGTGGCTGTTCAGCGATGTCCCACTTGTATTTTAGAGATTAGGGTCAACGTTTGGCTAATGTCGTTCTCTGACACTAGCAGATTTATTTCCTCTACCTTGACTTTTCCATGTATTTTGAAATACAAACCCATCCAGTTGATCTGGAATTAGTTCAGAGCCTCTAATATCAAAATAGCCTGTAATGACATCCTGTCATTGCTGCTGTTGGACGGGTGGTTTTGGTCTATGATGAGGAAGAAGAGCAAACAGGACAGATCCAAGCTACCCTTCAGCCTCTTCTACTCCAATATTTTCCTACAGATACAGGCATGATTTGAACTTTTCAACTAAAAATCAAATTATCAATGCTCTCCAGCCAGCTGTAGGCACTTTTTGTGCCTTAGTAGGAAATACAGCATGGAACTGAGATAAATATCCTTTGAAGTTGTAGGGAGGGATGTGTTCTCGCATTTTTGGCCGGGATTCCTGCCTGTCACTTCACTCTCTTGAGGTGCTGCAGTGAAATATCCTTATGGTGGGTGTCACAGATGTTTCTTTTGTGTTTTTCAAGCCAAATATCTCTTTCAAAATATCAAGTAAAGCCCTGCTTACACAGTCATGTTCTCTCTGGCTTTTCTCCAATACATCTGTTTATTTGATTGTAGGTGTTGACAGGCTGGATAAAGATCTAACAATTGGACAGATGCAAGGTAAATATTTAATATTGTTACTTTATCCTTCCTGTAATGCTCTTTTTGGATAATAGCTTGTTGCTATGGGTACATGAACAAGCAATAGCTGGAATCGCCTCTCACCAGGTGCTGTCTATATCAAAACAAATGTGCATTAAAGAATTAATCCGTCCCAAAGTGTTCCCTGTCTGTGTGTAGGAAAGGTGGAGAAGTTGAGAAGGGAAAGGCTGAATTAGAAGTTGTGAAGGGCTGTTGCCATGGGTTTTGTTCAGTCTGGCGTTCAATATTTCCAACAATGGAGCTACCACGCTTCTCTTGGATCAGAATGATTGTGAGGGCTTCTTTCTAATCTGTTTTTTTTCCCTTTCTATCTACATTCCTGATGTTCCTGGCTAGAACACTTGGGACCATCCAAAACTGTCTGGTCTCCCAGTGTTTCTGGCAAAAATCAGACCAAGATTCACCATCTGCATTAATGTTTTGGGTTTTTTATTTTTTTCCCATCCCAGCTTCATTGATTTCCAGAGCAACCAGTACTAGAAAGTAATATTGGGTGGCAGGAAAAACACTTCGTTAAGGTAGATCTGATAACAGTTCCGAGTCTGAAAGGTAGTTTGCCTGCATCAAGAAGCTCTAAGAAGTTTAGCTTTGTTTTAACTCCTGGGAACCTGCTCGAGTTACACATGGGGAAGATAAATTAAGCAGCCAGTTCCCACTTTCTTGGGAAGCGGTCTGCTGCGTGGATTGTACAGTTTGCTCCAGACTTCTGTGCCTTCCCCCATCCCCCTTCGACAGATGCATATAGTGGGTTTGTTTGTAAAGAATGCAAGATCCTTTTTAGAAGATTTCGTAAATCCACAGTGTTCTTGAGGGTGTAGTGTCTGATGATTCCTGTGCACACAAGAGCTGCTTGCATAAACTTGTGCTGTTAGAAATCACTACGGCTTAAAAAAGCAACTCCAGCGATGACTCTCTTGATCTGCAGGGAAGTTTCAGATGCAGGTCCTCCCACAGTGTGGCCACGCAGTCCACGAAGATGCTCCAGACAAGGTGAGCTCCATTGTGGGGTTGAAGCTGGATAACTCACGGTTTTCACAGCGTAAATGCAAAAGGATTTTGTTGCTTATTACGAAGCAGGGATTATAATTCAGGAGTGTTTTTCTGGCACGATGTCTTAACTGGCTATTTGCAAAACAGCTTGGATTTTTAAGCTGGCTGGAAAGCCTGGGCTAAGATATTACACGACACAGGGCTTGGCTAGGTTACAGATTTAACTCTCAGGCTTGTGGTGATATAACTCTTACCAGGTGGAGTGTGGATTTATCCTCCCTGCCTTTCCTCGTGAAGTTCTCTCCCTTTTATTAAACTGCAGCTTTTGGGGTTGCTCTCTGTTTTTCTGAGTTGGGTGGCTCCCATTTTCCAAATACAAACCAAATGTTACCGAAACAGCTTACGGACTGACAGCGCAGCGCTGCTTCTGGGTGCTGCCGATGGCAGTGTCCAGATAGCAGCAGGGATGTGGTGCAGCCAGTGGAGCCTCTGGTTGGAAACACGTCTGGTTTTCAAGCTTGTTCTACACTGACTGCTGTGAGTGTAAAGCTCAGCCTTTCTGTGCTTCACTTTACCAATCTGAAACAGGGATTTTTATCTAAACATTCTTACATTGTTATTCTTTTTAATATAAATTCGAAACGGTCTTATTACTGTTAGATTACTTGATTTATTCTTTATAGGAATAACTTGCATCGTGATTTCACCAGACCTTTTTTACCTGCTGAAATTAAGCATTCTTTTAAGAATTACTGAAAGAGGTGGTGAAAAAGTTTTGTCACTTCTTGATGGTGTGGTCAGAGTAAAGGTGGAAGCATGTAGTTCGTTCTTTTATATATAAGTCCATTATACAGAGATCGTAGTTTTAAAGGAGCGAACTTGATGCACCAAGTGGCCTGAGGACACGAGCTGTTGTTGGAAAACTTTGAAAAACTGCTGGATTTCTTGTTATTTTCATGTCCCTTTAATTTTTTTTTTTTCTCTTCCCTCAGGTTGCTGAAGCTGTTGCGACGTTCCTGATCCGTCACAGGTTTACAGAGCCCATCGGTGGATTCCAGTGGTAAGGCTCTGCGGGTGCTGGGCAGTCCTCAAGCAGAGCTCTTGCTCTTCCTGCCCGTGTGTTTGGCTCTCGATGCAGGAGACTGGATTTTAGCATAATGCTAAAAACCAGATGTAAACAAACAGTTTTGAATCACAGCCAGGAATATATTTGACGTTTATGTGTTCTGTTTAAACTTCTCGTGTATTAATTTGTGTTAATGAAACTTCCTTCCATGGAGGGGAGGAGCGAAGCAGATCCTCCCTAGCTGATTCCTTTCTTTGTAGCCTGCCAGAATGACAAGCTTTCTGCTATTTAGTTGAAAGAGCATTTTATTTAAGTAATCAAGGCCCTGTGTTTTGAAAACATCTTGCGCCACGCTTCTTTGGACAAGAAATATTGGTAAGATTAGACAGGTAGAGCCGTCTGCTTCACTTTGTGGACTTTCTGTTCTTATCTCGTGTGTTTTCATATCATAATGAACTGGAGAAGCCAGAACTCTGCGATAAGCCGCACAGCGGTGAGAGTAGGTTGTGACTGATAAAAGTTGATCAGAAAACTTCCAAAGTCTTAGTTCCAGTACCATAAAGCTAATAACTAAACCAACACTTAGACCTCATAGAAGATGCTGATCTGTTTCATCGTTCATCTGAAAGATGATCCTAATATAAACGTGTTTCTTTAGCAATCCTCAAAAGTCCTCCTGCTTTTAGCTAGGAATTCTTCAACAAAAGCTAGAAGCCCCAGAATGTGATGCTGTAGGACTGGCAATGCTCAAGAGCAATTGCTGGATGATTCCTTTCTCCTTCTTCCCTGTATCCTTGGGGATGAAACAGTAGAAATGTAGGACTGTGGGCTGCACATTTTAAATCCAACGAAAGGATAAGAGTGTAGGTTGTTGTGCAGCCTGTTGCCCCTGCTATTATGGTTGTAGCAAAAGCAGCTTTAAAACAAGAAACTTGGAGAAAGGGAGGTGGCTCGCTGGCCATACTGTGTCCTTGAGCCGTAGACAGCAAGATTTTAAGCTTTTGTGCTTCTCGCTATAATGTAGCTTACAAATTATTGCTGCATGCATCAATGCTGATTTTTTAACCTGCATGATAGACTCCATTCAGCGTTGTTTGATCCTGGGTAAGAGTCAAATCTCTGCAGAGAATACCTTGATTTTAACCTGTGACTTTTCTTCCACTCTCCTTTTTTTTTCCCCTCCTAGCGTGTTTCCTGCTTGTTAATACCCTGGTGTTCTCCAGCACTGAGTCCTGTTGTAAATAAACTGCACCAGAGGCCACTGTGATGTATCCATCTCCTTTCATCTCTCCAATTCAGCGGCAGTGAGAAGTTGGTGTGAGATTCATCTCTTAGAACTAGTTCTCCGCAGTGTGTAAATGCTTAGGGACTTCCTTGCTGGGAAGCAGCTCGTGAAAGACCGTGAAAAGCTCTTCAGGCCCTTTGGAAGTGGATTCCTCTCTGCTGCTACAAGGAAAAACCTCCTGAAACCCCAACTAGTCAATCATACCGATCTCCATCGATTCTCAGGCTTTCTTGGGGGCCATTGGCAATCCAGATCCACTGAGGGTGTTGCAGCATAGCCAAAGTTTTTAGGATTTCTCCATGGGATCATCTAATTCTCTTTGAAGTGCCCCTTAGGTTTGATGTTTTTATATTCGTGTTTCTTTCCCCTAGAGCAGATGAGGAATTGGCTTTGTTGGGAGCTCAGGTTTTGTCTCACCGATGCCAGCCTTACGAGTTAAGCTGCAGGAACAGCCTAGATGCTACTTTCCTGTGCGAAATTGGACGGGACCGTAAAACTAAAAGGCGAGGGGGAACCGTGAGCTCCATTTCAGAGTCATGCAGCTTTCTTAATACTTGTTTCAAGTTCTCACTGAGAAAAATAGCCTGGATAACTCCCTCTACTGCAGACACGTAACAGGCAGGGGACTCTGCACCTGCATTTGCAGGGAAAACCCAACAGCAGCCGTAACAACGTAGTCTGCGGGCAGTTCTCCGTGCCTGGAATGTGTTTATGCTTCCCTTCTTGTAGCTGCTACACACAACCGAGCAGAGATCAGCGCCTTTTGGAGAAAAAAAAAATGCAAAAAGTGCAGTAGATAAAACCCTGGAAGAGCTTGGAGTCAGTCCTGCAGATCTTGATGCCGAGGTGTAAGCAGCTGCTGCTGGGTTCTGCTCCCCCCAGTATCGGAGGAAAGACCTTGTTTTCACTGTCACTTCCTAGCTCGTTTCACTGCCTGCCTTCCATATTTCCAAGTAAATGCTGGAGTTCCACGGAGAGCTTTTCTTCAGGGTTAAATTATCCACAGACAGTTCGTCAGATTGCTAAGAATCACTCTTGAGTGTAAGAGCAGACACGTTTTGGAGCAGTTGTCCTCAATATGTTGCTGGTGGATGTCTGAATTTTTTTTTTTTTTTTTGCCTTGTGTCCATAATCCCTCGATGCTGTATGATGAAAGCAGTATTTTAACACTGCTTTGCTGAAGCAGAGTTCTGTCGGTGGCCTGATTTGGGAGCTGCGATGTGCATCTACGCGTACGCCCTGCGACAAGAGCCATCGTGAATTCTTGGTGTTTGAGAGGTGGGGCAAAGGGAGATGGCATGAAGGTTCGACAAAGCCCGGTTTAATGTTGGCGTTTACCCCGATGGAGAGCTGCTCGTCTTCTCTGATTTATTTGCACGTGAGCCCTGGATGCAGAAGTCATGGCTTTGCTCTGTGTCCCTTCCCTGACACATCAGGGTGGGAAATGCCTGAATTAGAGACAAAAAAGCCACATTTCAGAGAAGCACTTCAGCCATCGGCACTCGGGTGTTAAAAGAGCAAATTGCTGGCTCCCGGCGCTTCCCTCCGTAAGTCACCATGTTAATTATTGCGTTAGTTTGCTGTGACCTCGATGTAACAGTCCACCCCTGATGAATTAAACGGATCTTCAGTAGTTGAGATGCAAAATAGCCCTTTTCCCCAGCTGTATCCTGAAGATTGGCAAAAATTCGCGGTCCTTTCCAAACGAGGAAATTCGTTCAACTTGTTAGAGGTTCGATAAGAAGGTGCCTACATCCAGAGTCTCGCTTCACATGGCAGTTAAGCATGTGCCTGTTGTCATACTCACAAATGAGCTCAGTAAAGTCCCATTCCTCTGTGCTGAAGTCACTTGGAGGATCTGACTTTGAGTGATTCGTTGCGGTAACTCCTCATGCGTTTGCTTCTCATGTTATCCCTTTCATTTGCTTTTACAGTTTGTGAGATCTCAAAAAAAACCAACCAAACAAACAAAAAAAACAAACCCAAAACCCTCCATGGAAAGCAAAAGCAAATCAGTTTTGTATTCTGTAGAAGCGCCGTTGGACAATGAATGACTGTTTCTGAATCCGGTGGGCTCCCCAGGATTATATTTTGTTGTTAACATTTGGGAAGTGAGTGGGGAAAAAAAAAATAAATATTTCAACAGCCTATTTAATGTGGCGTTTGCTCTGTGCCAAGCTCTCAATCCTGACTTGCTCCCGGACTTGTGTAGTGCTGGCTTCAAAAAAAAGGTGACGACAGGGACAGTAGCAATAGGGTGAGGGGTGGGTGGAGGGGGAATTCCTTTCGGCTGTGTCGAGCCACGTACTTTTGTCTGAAAAATATTAATGCTCCTGTTGCAGTTTCTTTTCCCTTTTCAGGGAGCTCCAGGCAGAGATAAATTGTGTTTAGGTGAAGGATAGCACAGACCACGGTAAAAGTAACTGCAGAGAGAATAAATGTTCTCTTTGACTTGTGAAAAATGGGGACGTGTAGAAAATCCCCCCGTAACTCCCAGCTTTTCACTGCATTTTTCCCCCGCCTGCAGCATTGGGCTGTGTCAAAGCCGATCAGCAGGAGGAGGGTGAACTGAAAGGATTCTGGTTTTACAGTGACGCTTTTGATTATTTGGAAATCTTTCTCGGTTCTGTTCCAGTTGGATTGAGGATCGGTGGAAAATTTCACAATGGAAATCCGGAGGCTCGGCAGGAGCAGTCTGGGGGGCTGGTTTGGTGCAGGGTTCACTTCTTCAGTTTTTCAAATTAGACCCAGGATGGGTTTTGCCAGCTCCTGATTTGTACACCAGACAAAACCCACGGTGACTTATAGATTCCAGAAGCGTTGAGATTGCTGGAAAAAGATATTTCCTGTTGTGCTGAAGCATATGGTTGTGGTTTGAATACCAAATACCAGACCCTGCAAACACAGAGCTCGTTTTCTTGTCTTTGCACATGCTTAAGCTCGCATAGTTCCTCCATGCTGGTGGATTGAAAATGCCGTTGGTGAGTGGGACGATCGATCCGTACAGGCGCAGACGCTCGGTGCTGAATTGCATTGCTCTACAGAACTGACTTTTCTTTTGAGATCGGTCTCTTTTTTTTTTTTTTTTTTTTTTCCTTCAGCCTGTTCTGGTCCAGGTGAAACCGAAGTCAATTAAAACTACTGATGCTTATTGCGACTGGAGGTCAGTTTCTGTGCAACTGAGACACCCTCTGAACAAAAAATAAGCACTATGGTAAAGTAAAGAATTACTTCTCAACTGAGCTCATGGTGTCGGGGAGCTCTCAGAGGTCATGTTGTTGTGGTAGATCCAGTCGGTAGCACCAGTAGCCCAGTAAATACCGCGCTGGAGCAGTTCAGAGCGAACCTCCTTGCTTTTCCTCTCTGGTGATCAGCTATTCACTGGGTTGATCTGGCACTTAACACTCCTGAAAATCTAAACCTAGATCTTCAGGTAAGGTAAAAAAAAAAAATAGTTTCTGGGTTGCCATTTCCAAGAAAACTTGGCCCTGGTGCATTGTAACACCCATCTCTGAGCCTGGTGCTCTGCTCCCAACCTGAACGTGGACTCGTGCAAAGCTGTTGACGCTGTCCTGCACGATATCTCGAAATTGGAGAGACGTGGATTTGGCAGGTGGACCTCCCGGTGGATGAGGAATTGGCTGGAGAGTTGGAGGGATTCAGCCTGGAGAAGAGAAGGCTCCGGGGAGACCTTCCAGCCCCTTCCAGTGCTGAAAGGGGGCTACAGGAGAGATGGGGGGGCTCTGGATCAGGGGGTGCAGGGACAGGACCAGGGGGAAGGGGTTGAAGCTGCAAGAGGGGAGATGGAGATGAGATGTGAGGAAGAAATGTTTTCCTGTGTGGGGGGTGAGGCAGTGGCCCAGGGTGCCCAGAGCAGCTGTGGATGCCCCATCCCTGGAGGGGTTCAAGGCCAGGCTGGATGAGGCTTTGGGCAACCTGGGCTAGTGGGAGGTGTCCCTGCCCATGGCAGGGGGAGGCACTGCATGGGCTATAAGGTCCCTTACCACCCAAGCCACTCTGTGATTCCATGAAACTGCCGTTTGTGTTGCCCAAACCTCCCTCCCTCGGCTGTATCATCTGCCCTGATCCCTCTGGGATTGCTGCACCCTCAGCACCTTGTCCATAAGCCATCAGAATCCTGCAGGACAGCGCTTGGGTGTTTGCTCCGCGCTTTGCTCTTGGATGCTGGGCCAGTTTTGGCCAAGCTTTCCCCTTCTGGCGGCGTGACCTTTTCCCACGTGCTGCTGTTTCCAAAAGGAAAATGTGTGTGTCTGTCCTGTGTGAGCCTCATCCTGCACGTGTCTTGTTCTGTGTCTGTTTCTCTCGCCTTCAAATAAAGCCTTTGTGAAAATTCTGGGGCAGGAACTCGTCCTTTCTTTTCAGCTATGGGACTTGGGCTCCTTGGAGCATCCCATGGAGGAAGGGTTTTGATTCCTGAGACATTCCCAGGACCAGACCCAGCCTTGGGTTTTTCTGGTGACTCACAGAAGCCTCTCGGAATCCAAAATATTTCCCCATCCCTCCTCCACGCTCCGAGCTGGGGAGGAGGGGATTCTTTCGCCACAACTTTTGCTTTTTTTCCCCTCCCTTCTGTGACTGATGCCTCCCACATGTATGAAAACATCTGAAAATAATAAACCGCGGCGTTCTGGCTGCTCAGTAACCGGGGCTGCGTCTGGTTTTAACACCCTCAATGTTGTTGTTCCTATCTGAAGAGCAGGAATTTGGGGAAATTTGCTCAGAAATTTTACAGACTAGTTTACATTGGGCTCCTGTAGCATCTTCCTGCTGCTCCAGCTCCCATTCCCCTCCCTCTATATGCTCCCTGTTCATCACATGCGCCTAATGACAGGGTTCATCCAGAGCTGGATAAACACATCCCCGGAGAGATAAATGCACATTTTTTGACCCAAAACCAGCAGGAGAGCCCTGGGAGAGCTCTGTATGATGTTTCTATCCCCTAATTTTTATCCTTTTCCTTCCAGCGAGCAAAGAGGCTGAAAGGTGACGGGGTGACCTGGACCCCCCCCCCCCCCCCCGGGGGGGCGGGGGGCC